ATACTTCTCTCTAATATATTTTGAGTACATGATCACATATTGCTTTTGATGGGAATCCATGACACAAGTTATCTTACATATCAGTCACAATGTGGTAGTCTAGGACATAACTTTGTTACAAAGTGGGTACTCCTTAGACCTAATAATCATCAGTTCTAATGTAATAGCTGTAATTATGTAAGTCTAGGGTCTGTTTAAGCTTACCTGAATTAGAATGTCAATCATTCTAATGATACATCAATAATTTTACTAGATGGACGTTGCTAGGATGATTCTACTAAATTTGTAGATGATCCTTTTCTCTGTTGTGGTTGGTCACCAACTCGATTAGAGAGCAGCTCCGTTGATTACTCAACTCAAAAGAGCACTTGATTCACGTTTTGGTCGGCGGCTGTGTTTGTTACTCTTGGAGCTTGGCTCCTAACCGGCTAGAGCGTCGCCTGTGGAGCTTGCCAACTTGTGTGGCAGCCCAGGAGATTTGTAACCATTTTTTGAAGGTAGTAAACTCACCCCTCATCTCAAGAGTTAAGTCTCTTGACTTGAGAACGAGGAAGGGTTGGAAAGCCCTAAACCTTAGTGGCTAACCTCAACAACATGGACGTAGGCAAACCTTGGTGGTGAGCCGAACCACGGGATAAATCATTGTATCTCTTTTGCTTGATTTATATTACTTGCATGTCATACTATTATTGAGGTGATTTCTAGAGTATCTAGTTGATCTACTTGTGTATGGTGTTCCTACTACTTCTAGCTCTCGATCTGTGACTATCATACATGCAGTAAGCTGAGAAATTTCTCCGATCTAAGTTTCCGTCCACTGATTTTGAACTGTGACTCGAAGTTGTCTGCAGGTGCGGCAGTGCCGCTGTTCTGGCCCAGCAGTGCCGCAGTTCGGCAGTGTTGCCCGTCAAAGCGGCAGTGCCGCATGGTGAAATTGATAAAAATTTAAGTGTTTGTTTTGACAGGCCTATTCACCCCCTCTAGACCAACCAAAGATCCTATAGATATGGGGCGATGGAATACTAAAAAGCATGTAGAGTATATGATAAATTCGTCATAACTAGGTAAGGATTATAGGATATCTGTATTTATCTATATCTATATCTAATAATAAAGAGGTAAAATTTTAGTCCATTTTTTTGTTACCTATTTTTTTGGTATGGCCTCCTCTAACTAATTCCGTGAATGTGAAAACTATTAATGTTCATCTCTCTACAACTTCTTCTGTTTTCTTTCTATACCTAATAATAAAGAGGCAAATTTTCAGCCTATTTTTTTACCCATTTTTTTGGTATGACCTCTAACTAACTCCGTGAATGTGAAAACTATTAATTTTTGTCTCTCTACAACTTCTTATGTTTTCTATATATAATAACATACATAGGCTTTTCTGAGGTAACTTGAATAGGTACTAATTCAAATCCTAATCCAAATAGATCCTTTTAAGTCCTGAGTAAACTTCAGTAAGAATCCTAATCCTATTCTACTCTCTATTTTTTCTATATTTATGGCCAAAATTTCTGCAATATAATTATTTTCACCCAGCTCTGATCCCCTTCCACTTTTAGATCTATTGTTCGATTATGTCCCCTATCCTTTTTTCTTAGTCCATGTCCCGTTCAGTTTGGGTCTAATCTATCTACAACAAAAACATACGGATTATCAACGTCTACCCGGCAGCACCAAAACCTCCTTGTGATCCATGACTATCCCGCGCTCCTCCCTCACAGATTCCTTCGGGTCTTTCCATGCATGGATGCATGCATGTGTACACCGCTCCAACATGCAGCCGCGGTATTCTTATCTTTTCGGCAAATTCAGAAAGCACAGATTACGGAAAAAATCAACAATCTATCTATAACTAAAATATATGGATTGTCAACGTCTACCCAGCAGCACCAAAATCTCCTTGCGATCTATGGCTACCCGACGTAGAAAGGGAAATTCCCACAAACCCTGCATGGTGGCTCTGCCCGGCTCTATCCCGCGCTCCTCCCTCATAGGTTCCTTCAGGTCTTTTCATGCATGGATGCATGCCCGTGCACCCCGCTCCAACATGCAGCCGCGGTATTCTTATCTTTTCGGCAAATCCAGAAAGCACATATCACGGAAAAAATCAACAATCTATCTACAACTAAAACATACGGATTATCTGTTCGCCGAGTGTCAGGTATAAAACACTTGGCAAAAAAAGTTTATATTTCATGCTCCACCGTCCTCCTTCTTCATAGCGTGTTCTACTAAATTTGTTACGATGTAATTTAAAAATACCTTGTCAAATTCACTCAACAATGCATGTTTAATTTTTCTACGAATATTAATTCATTATTTCATGCAGTTATAGCTTAAATTCAATTTATATCAATTAAAATTCTATAATTGCAGTCAATAAATTAAAATTATCAAATGGATCCAAAAGATTACCAAAAATTGACGTGAACCAATCTATGTTGTCTATTGCCTATACAAAAGACTTTTGAAGTCAAACCCCAATTGGACCATCACTTTGACTCCAAATCTTACCGGATTCTTCTCAACGCTACGATTCTTCTTCAGTTTATAAAGGTTGTACGTGACAAATTATGCGAAACCTTCTCAATTTTTTTCCACAATCTCCACGTATGATATCATGAAATTTTGACAAATCTCGTGATTTTCATACTTCGTTTGCTTTTTTTAGAATTTAAAAACCATTCGGCCACACGTTCGTGGTCGTATTTCCTGAACAAAATATTCGAAAATTCTTTTCATTTTCCGAGTAAGGCCCTAAAATGGACTTAATAACATGAATATGATTTCTCCACTCAATTTATTCCATTATTTGAATCACTTGCAGTTCAAATTTGACTTAAACCAAAAAATTCCTCTAAATGCAATTAATTAATTAAATATAGCAAACAGATTAAGAAATATGCCAAATTTTAACATGTAGTATCACATGTTGTATGTGGAGAGTAGAAAAAGTTTGAAGGGCAGGAGAGAAAAAAATTATTATTTTGCCGAGTGCCAATAAAAACACTCGGCAAAAACATTATTTTGCCGAGTGTCAAACAAAAACACTCGGCACAAATATCAGTTTGCCGAGTGTCAATAAAAAACACTCGGCAAACCTTGTCTTTGCCGAGTGTCTCTAACGGACACTCGGTAAAGTTATAACGGCAGGGCGGCACACCCAACGGTCGCCACATGCCCAGCGCACGTGCCTTTACTTTGCTGAGTGTCTGTGTTTGTCGAGTGTTTCTTTGTAGTTTGCCGAGTGTTTTTTATTAGACACTCGGGAAAATTGGATTTTACCGAGTGCTATATGTTTGCTGAGGGTTTTTTATTAGACACTCGGTAAACAAGATGTTTGTCGAGTGCCCGATGGAATGCACTCGGCAAAATAATTGCATTCTTTAATAAAAAAATAGTCCCGCAGCTGATTCAAAAAAAAAAGTCCCACAGCGTGCGACGACCTAGTACTTGGATCTACTGGTCTGCTGGTCGTGTGTGTGTCTGATGATGCACGTACACGATAGTATGCATGATGCAGATGCCGTCGTCACCCGCTGCAACGCCAGCAAAATGACGCGGCCTCAGCTCGATATTAATTTTTTTCCTCCGTTCCTTTGGGTGCACTTCAGTTTTCGTTTGATTTTTTTGTTGGCCTTCCGTCCGATTTCTTTATTTATGATTTCTTTTGTTTTTTCTTTTGCATCCGTGACCCTCTTAGGTGATTTTTTTTCCATGGACTTTTTTTATAAAAATAATTATTATGGACCTTTCAACTGTTGATTTTCTCTAAGACAATTTTTCTACTACCAAGTTGTTAACGTAAGTTTGATCAAAAACATATTCTTATTGAAACCTGGTTTAGCAGGTGATTCAACTAATCAAAATGTGAATAGAAAATTTAAATAGTTTATCGTCTAATCTGGTCTAAATAAATGTATCTGTGCGATAAGCGACGAGGCTAGCATGTGAAAACTCAAGTAAGTTTTCCATTACAATCATAAGTATTGTAAACACTCCTTGTTGACTTTAATTATAGAGATTAAAATTAGTTTTTTATAGTCCTCAAACGTCCCAAAAATCAATATTTAACTATAGCAGTGTAATAAATAGGAGGCTATGGACATTTAGCGGCTAGTCTATCTTGAGGCTAAGAGTCACCTATAGCGGACTATAGCAGGTTGAAATAGCTAAACTAAACATGAGCACAAATAGCGGTGTAATTTGTTTTTTCTTGAACTATAACAACACGTGGATAGAATCAAAAATAAAGTTATAATATATTTACGTCTAAATATTTATGTGGTTTGCAATTTAATAAAAAATATATCAAAATTGTATTTTAATTCAGACTTAACAATATATTGTCACATTGTTGCCTGATATTAACTTATACTTTGGATGTCATGGCCATCACAAAATAAATTATAGCTTTTAAATTTTATAAATGGTGAAACATAAATTATACCACCCTCACTACCGAAAATAGTGACTTTGCTGTGTGCTACAGACACTCGGCAAAGACCAAAAAACACTCGGCAAACAGCACACGACAACTACAGTGTCGTCAAACAACTATTTGCCGAGTGTTTTTTATAGCGCACTCGGAAAAAAAGTAGTTTGCCGAGTGTTTTTCCAAAATACACTCGGCAAAGGATTATTGTTTGCCGAGTGTTTTTGAGAATTACACTTGGCAAACCTATTTTCCAAAGAAAAAAAATAATTTTTTTTCTCAGCATACCATTATTGTTTGCCGAGTGTTTTTGAGAATTACACTCGGCAAACCTATTTTTCAAAGAAAAAAAATAACGATCTCATCAAACAAGATGGATATGCCTTACATAGCAGCCATACGAGGTATTATCAGTATCACAGTATGGTAGATGGACACATGATAGCACAATTACATAACTAAAAGATAAAAAAGAAATGGCTATAGGGCTTGCAGCGGAAGTCTGAGCCCTATATCTCATCTCAACTAGTGACAGGCGAAGCTCCTGACTCTTCACTCACTGGGTGCCAGGGGTGGTGCTGATGATGTCTGAGTCACCTGGAGCAGAGACATTACAGGAGGTAACAATTGTTCAGTGACAGTTCCGAGCGGAAGAAGATAATGACAATTTAACAGAAACGAACCTGGGTCGATGATACTGAGGCAGCACACCCTGTAGTACTTGCCGCAGGCAGTGCCAAGATCAACGTTGTCTGAAATGTCAACAAAACAATGGGTTGAACACATAATAGCAAAATTTACAACGCCAACCTGAGTCGATTAAATGAGTGGTGCCAAGTACAACTCCAAATAACTAAAAACAAACAGAACTTGCAATAGATAATCCTGAAAGGATGAAGGTGGTCTTACTTCCATGGAAATGGTGCACGCTAACTTTGGCCAGCATAGCATAGTACTCAATCTCAGACTTCCTAAGTGGAGGGCAGTTGTTCGCGATGATGATCAGCTTTCCTGAATACAGACATCAGAACCAGACTGTAAGAGCTCAAAATCATATGTACTCGGAAGCCAACACCACCTTTTCTTAAGTGTTCCCAGGTGCCAAAACAATAATGTTTGCACAATGTTAACAAAGCGTACTCGTCAGTATTCTGCATGCTGAGACGACCCCATCACTCAAACATACTTGAACCACTTGTTGTGGTGTACTAAGTTAGCAAATATTTCAACCTCCAATTGTATTCCAGGTTTATAGAATAAATCAAGAACTTTAATCAGGAGGTTGGCTTTGTTCTAGGGTGCTGCATTCATCTCAAAGGCACAGAAAAATAAAGCCAAAGAGCCAAACTCCAGCCCCATTCATAAATCAAGAACTTTAATCAGGAGGTTGGCTTTGTTCTAGGGTACTGTATTCATCTCTAAGGCGGTGGTAAAAGCAAGCCAAAGAGACAAACTTCAGTCCCATTATACAATGGGATGTCCAAACTCTAAATCCTGACAGTGAACTACCTAAAACAAATCCGTAGGTACATCTACAAGTTAATTCATACACAGACAAAAAAAAACAAAGCATATTCCTCAACATATTTAGCTGGAAGATACTAACAATCGCCACTACCAAAACCATCCATGACATTTACAGATCGTAAAAGGCATCATAGAACATCATACATCAATAATTACCACAATCCGCCCCCGGCGCGACTGGATCTGCCACCGCGGGGAAGAAGGGGGAGGGGCGCCGGATCTGCCACCTGTGGAGGAGATGAAGAGGAGAGAGGCGCTGCCGCCACCTCGCGCAGCTCCGGCGAGCTCACCACCACCACCACGCCGGCGAGCTCACCACCACCACCACCACGCCCGGATCCGAAGAGGGAGAGAGGGCGCGGGCGGGCGGATCAGGGGAGGAGGGAGGGGAGGACGGGGCCGCACCAGAGAGGGAGGGGAGGGGCACGCCGGAGGAGGGGAGGGAGGGAGCGCGCCATGGAGAGAGGGCGTGGGTGGGGGAAGAAGAAGGGGAGGGAGGGGCGGGGCGGATCTGGGAGGAGGGAGGGGGGAGGACGGGCCACGGGAGAGGCAGGGGAGGGGCACGCCGGAGGAGGAGGGGAGGGGCGCGCCGGAGGAGGGGAGGGAGGGGAGCGGCGCGGCGGAGAGAGGGCGCAGGTGGGGGAAGAAGAAGGGGGAGGGAGGAGCGCGGGCGGGCGCCGGTTAATTAAGCAGGTTTTTTTTCCTTCGCCGAGTGTCTTAGATCTGGGCACTCGGCAAAGTGATTTTTTTTCTTTTTCTTTTTTTGAAAAAAGATTTTATTTCTTTGCCGAGTGTTCTAGATCTGGGCACTCGACAAAGTGTTTTTTTTATTTTTTTTCTTCTCCTTCTTTCCCAGAAAAAAAGATTTTATTTCTTTGCCGAGTGTCCTAGATCTGGGTGCTCGGCAAAGTGTTTTTTTTTCATTTTTTTCTTCTCCTTCTTTCCCAGAAAAAAGATTTTATTTCTTTGCCGAGTGTAAAAAAGAAAACACTCGGCAAACCCCCTCTTTGCCAAGTGTTTTTTTTACACTCGGCAAACCTCCTTTTTGCCGAGTGTTTTTTGACACTCGGTAAACCTCTTTTTTGCCGAGTGTTTTTTTTACCGAGTGTTTTTAGCGCAGCACTCGGCAAAGAACTTTTGCCGAGTGCCCGAGAGAATACACTCGGCAAACATTAAAATACTCGACAAATTTGACGTTTCTGGTAGTGCCTATAGATCGTCTTGGATATTCTAGGTACATAGTTTTTTGCTATACACGTAGATATACGAAATTACTAGGTACATAGTAAAAGTAATATATCCAGAGAAGACAACAAATGACACGTAAGTCGCAACGTACGGACATATTTACTAGTCTAATATTAAAGGGAGAAAAGTTTCTTCATATGTCATTCCTCATAACCATCCGATGGGAATCTGATGGATCCAATATCTCTTGTACCCGTACGGGTTGGTGTCAAGCAACGCTGTGTAGTCCGATACCCTGATTCCAAAATGAATTGGAATACAAGGCTTTTTTCTAGTCCCTCACTCTTTCCCATGCCTATATGGATTAGAGAAGATTGTTAACGTTATTCGGACAAAGTCCGATTCCAAACAAACGCTTGACGTGATTAATTATTGGACAAGTCTCTAAGGCCCGTCTCTCTCTCTCTCTCTCTCTCTATATATATATATATATATATATATATATATATATATATATACACACACACATACTACATATTTGATCTCAAGACGAATCGAAACACATGACATGATGGTTAAATAAATAAATCTCCTAACCACAAGCAAGTCGTCAAGGTGAGGTCACACAACAAATTACACATTGTCTGTTGTAACACATGGACGTGTTTGATAGTCTATATATACCGTGTTATAGAATGAACAAAGGAACAGACCGCAAAGACAAATATATAATTAGATCGGTTAAGCATGTACTTGTAGTACATATACTTGTCTAAGAGACTAGTAAGACCATGTGTGGAAGCATGCACGGATGGATGAACAGGTAATACTAGTAGCCAGGACCATTTGGTTACACACGCAAAAGGTACGTACGGGAGTACTAGATAGAGTACATGTATACTGGCGATGCATGAGCGGGTGTACGTTTTACATGTGTATCGGTAAGGTGTTAATCATGCATTTAATTATGCGCGTGCCGTGTGGTTGCCTTTGCTTGACACGGAGTGATGATGAGCGTGAGCGGCACTACCGTATACCCTGTTCGCTGGATCATTTATGTGGATTATAAGTTAGCTGATTCTATTTTATTTTGAGAGAAAAGTACTATATCATAGTTGATAAACATGGCTAATACGATCAAGCAAACATAGTTACATACCCCTGGGCCCTAGCTCAGATCACCAACCAACCTTGTCGTAGTCGTCGGTATAGCATCAGCTCAGATCACCAACCAACCTTGTCGTAGTCGTAGGTATAGCATCAGCTCAGATCACCAACCAACCTTGTCGTAGTCGTAGGTATAGCATCAGCTCAGATCACCAACCAACCTTGTCGTAGTCGTAGGTATAGCATCAGACGCATCACCAGGCACCCAACCCAGCCGCTTTCTGTACGTACGTGTTCCAACAGGCAGCTTGCCTTCCAGCGTCTAAATTTTGCCGAGTATCAAGACCTAAACACTCAGTAAAGGTTATAAAGTTTGCCGAGTGTCATGACTAAAGCACTCGGCAAAGTTTACACACTTTGCCGAGTGTCGTGCCCAATACACTCGGCAAACAAGCGCGCAACGGGCAGATTTCATGGTCACTATGCCGAGTGTCCATTTGAACACTCGGCAAAGACAAAACACTCAGCAAAAAAGGTTCCCAGAATAACAGAAATTGGTCCCTTCGCCGAGTGTTTTGGCTCGGCACTCGGTAAAGCGTCTCTTTGCCGAGTGTTACACTCGGCAAAGCGACCAATACCCCCCTTTTTACTAATCTGTCCCGTATAACGGACCCCTCTCAATTCACAATAAACCATCACAATTCACAATAAAGCATCATCACAGGCATAATTATATGTCACAGACATAATTGTATTTCACAGGCATAATAAACCATCATCACAATTCACAATAAACCATCATCACAATTCACAATAAACCATCATCACAATTCACAATAAACCATCATCACAAGTCACAACTAAGTCACAATAAGCCACAAATGCAAATGTAATCACTGCGGAGGCCCTTGGAACCACTGTGACAAATCCGGGTCTTGAGACTGATTATTTGATGCCGCCGATTGATTCTGTACAAAAGAGAAGAGATTGCATGTGTGAGACAAGATTGATATTTATATGTGATGCACTTAATATCTAAGGTTCCTTGACACATGGAGATTGCACTTAATTCATTATTCACATGATACCTGTTGATCATTTTTGTTACATTGCAAAAAAAAAAAAAAAAAGATTCTACAAAATCTAAACTACTATGGAAGTTCACAAGTTTCCAAATTGACTGTACGGTTGGAAGTCAACTAATATGGAAGTCAACTACTAGCTTACTGCTCACAGTTTTGTTGTCATCTTTTTCAGATTATCAGAGATGCTGCTGGAGCACCTGATGTCTTAACTAGACTTGAGGGGCCACAACCGAATCCAGGTGATGCCACAGCAGATGCAGTGATATCAGAATATGAAAGCTAATGTCTCAGTACTAACTGTAACTCCACACCTAGCTCCTGTTTATGGCTCCTTTCTTCTTCTCTTTTGTCATTTTCTCAGGCAGTGTACTAGTGTTGTAAAAAAACACAATCTCAGGCAGTATACTCCCATTTTCTCAGGCAGTGTCATATTAAACAAGGTTAAAAAAACTACTGCTTGTTCAAAAGTCAACTGATAAGTTCCAAGATACAGCCTGGTAATCGCTCATTGCTGTGTAGAGCAAATGACAATGTGCTCCATGTCCAATGATGGTGTGCTAAGGGCAGTCCCAACGAAAGAAACTAGTAGTTTCTATAACATAGGATACCGCATCAAAAAAGTATTTCTTTCCAACCCATGGTTTCTATGAGTAATAATTATTTTCTCTTTCTCTCTCCCAACTCTATCTTCTTCCTCCAATGGGAGTGCGACACGAGCCCCCTAGAAACTGGTGGTTTCTCCCCAATGGTGATTTCATGGTTTCTTGGCGCATTGGGTCAAGAGAAGACCTGGTTTCTTCATGAGGAAACTATTTCTATGATTTTTTCTCTCTTTCTTCATTAACTACGTTGCCATGTCAACATTTTGCCTACGTGGCAAGTCATTTAATGATGATAGAAACTATCATCAATACACCATTGGGATTGCCCTAATGTAAAGGCCGTTCTGCTCTCATCAGCAGGGTAGCTGTGCACCACCAGTGGCGACAGCAGCAACTGTATGTGTATAATCTAAACTACTATGGAAGTCAACTAATAGCTTACTGCTAGTACAGTGGACAATTGGACATAGATGGAAAAAATCGAGCACAATTGATTTAGTGAGTTTTTATTTAGTGCAAAAGCAAGTTAACCGAGAGTTGGGAGCTATCAAAAATCTGTAATGTTAATTAGTGAGTTTTTATTTAGTGCAAAAGTAAGGTAACCATCCATCTAATATCTTGGCATAAAAAATAATAATAAATAGATCTAACATAAGGTGTTAAGTGACTCATAAGAGTAGTTGTGGGTGACTGAGGTGGAGGGAATAGCACCGGTGGCGGTGGCAAAGCTTGACCCATACTCGATGCAAAATTCTGCATGTATTGGAACATTTGGTCCATCCTCAACCGATTTTCTTCCTCTATCCACTGCAACGTCCGCCGTTGTTCTTCCTCCATGTTCTGCCACTCGGCCTCCATCTCCGCCATCCTCGCCTCCATCTCCTCCCGTTGCTTCGTTTCTGCTTCCACCCGGGCCTATAACATTTCATCCCAATGTTACAATGCAAAGCTAAAGTACGTAACAATCAACGAACGATGAATAAAACAGAAATAACCTGGAGAGCCTCCATCTGGAACTGTGTAGCGGTTGGCCGGGGGCGTATCGCCGGGCTCGAGCTCGTGCTCCTTGCTCGGATCTAGGAGAGAGTGGGAGTAGAGGCCGTGTCAATTGTACTGTCACCAATCCAGTACCGGCCATGCTTCTTGCCTCCTTCCACCCTCATCACGATTTCTCCATCAAGATCCTGGGTGCTCGGATCGAACTATGGCCCATGAACCTGCCTTGCCATCGCTGTGTACTCACTGACGCGGCTGTGGATGATAGGATCACTGTACGCCTCGGGCGGGTCCTCCGGGTTGAAGTCGATGTTTGCCGTCGCCTTGCCCTTTTTGGACAGAACCCATGCCTTGAACTGGGAGCAAGGCTGGCCATCATGTGACGACGACTGCGGCAAAAATGCAAAATGATTAGAAATTATGCAGAATTGAGTGTTAGAATAAAGAAATGAATTCGCGTACCCATTTTTCCCTGTATTC